AAGTCAATATAAGATATGAATGAAAAATTCAAAAGGAGATAGAGATGTTGAAAACAAACAAACAGAAATCTTGGAAATGAAAGGTACCATAAATCAAATAAAAAGTTCAGTTGATAGTCTGTAAAAGAGTAGCCCAGACTGAAGACAGAATCTCGGGGCTGGAAGACACAGTGGTCTTCCTCAAACATTCAGACAGCATTAAAGAAAAGAAAATAACTAACCATGACCAGAATATGCAAGAAATCTTGGACATAAATACCAAATTTAAGAATACAAAGAGTGTTGTGAGGGCTGGGGATGTGGGTCAAGCGGTAGCGTGCTTGCCTGGCATGCGTGCAGCCTGGGTTTGATCCTCAGCACCACATACAATAAAGATGTTGTGTCCGCCGAAAACTAAAAAAAAATAAATAAATAAATATTAAAATTCTCTCTCTCTCTTTAAAAAAACAAAGAGTGTTGTGAGATGCAGACTAATGGCATGGATAACCTCTTCAGGGAAATAATAACAGAAAATTTCCAAATCTTGGGAAGGAGGTAGACATTCAGATGCAGGAAGCATTCAAAACCTCAAATAGACGAAATCAAAAGAGAACCTCTCCATGACTCATTATAGTTAAAATGCATAACATACAGAGCAAGGATAGAATTTTTAAAGCCTCTAGAGAAATATGTTAGGTCACATTTATAGGCAAGCCAGTCAGAATCCCTTTTCATTTCTCTACACAAACTTTAAAATCCAGGAGAAAATGGAATGATGTGTTCCAAGCTCTGAAAGAAGTAACTGTCAACCAAGATTGCTATATCCAGCAAAGCTACCCTTTAGGATCAAAGAAGGAATAGAAACCTTCCAAGATAAACAGAAACTAAAACAATTCATGACTGTCATAACTATTAAGCTGATACTACAGAAAGTGCTTAAAGACATGCTGTACACAGAAGAAATAAAAACCAAATCACAGAGCTCTCAAATGGAAAAATATCATTTGAAAAGTAGCTAAGCAAATGAGAAATAGAACCAAATTAAACATTAGAAATATAAGTGGCAGGAAGTAATAAACATCTATCTTAATATCAAATATAAAGGGTCTAAACTCTCCAACTAAAGACACAGGCTGGAAGAATGGATTAGAAAACAAGACCCAACTATATGTTGTGTGTAAGAGATTCACCTTACAGGCAAAAACAGCCACAGGCAGAAAGTAAAAAGATGAAAAATTATATTCCACAAAAATGGACCCTGAAAACAAGCAGGAGTAACTACTCTCATATCTGACAAAGCAGACTTCAAGTCAAAATAATCTGAAGAGATAAAGAGAATTTCAATCCAACAAGAAAATATATAACAATATTAAATATTTATACCCCAAATGTTGGTGCACCTAATCACATAAAATAGATACCACTCAACATAAAGACTCAGATAGACCCCAGTACTAGGTGATTTCAACATGTGTTTCTCACCAATAGATAAATCATCCAGACATAAACTCAGTAAAGACTCTTTGGCTCTAAAAACATATAAATCAAAAGGACTTAACACACATCTGTGGAATATTTTACTCAATAACAGCCAAATTCACTTTCTTCTCAGCTGCTTATGGAACCCTATCCAAAATTGACCATATTTCAGGGCACAAAGCCATCTTAACAAATACATAAAAATTGTATAATTCCATTCATCTTATCAGGTCATAATGGAGTGCAATTAGAAATCAATACCAAGAAAAAATTACAGAAACCATAAAAACATGGAGATTAAACAATGAATGAGTGATAGAAGAAATCAGGAGAGAAATTTTTATCTTAGAACCAAATGAGAATAGTGATACAATATACCAGAACCCCTGGGACACTGTGAAGACGGGTATAAGAGGAAAGTCTATAGCTATGAGTGCCTGCCCACATAAGAAAAGGAACTTACTTCCACGTCACAAAGGCTATCTATGACCGACCCAAGCCAACTCCACAGTGAGTGGGGAAAGCCGAAAGCATTCCCTTTACAGTCTGGAACAAGACAAGGTGTTCACTCTCACCACTCCTGTGTAATATAGTCCTGGAAATCCTAGGCAGAGCAATTAAGCAAGGGAAGAAAATAGAAGGGATCCAAATAGGAAAGGAAGAAGTCAAATTATCACTGTTTGCAGATGATATGATACTATACCTAGAAGATCTAAAAAAGCTCCACCAGAAGACTGCTACAGCTGATAAACAAATTCAGCAAAGTAGCAGGATACAAAATCAATATCCCATAGTCAATACCTTTTCTATACACCAATGATGAATCTGCTGGGAAAGAAATCAGAAAAGAATCCTATTTATAATAGCCTCAACCCCCCCCCCCCCGCCCAAAACCCAGGAATAAATCTATCCAAGGAGGTGAATAACCACCTCTACCATGAAAACTACAGAACATTGAAGAAAGAAATTGAAGAAGACCTTAGAAGATGGAAAGACCTCCCATGTTCATGAATTGGCAGAATTAATAGTGTTAAGATGGCCATACTACCAAAAGCAACATACAGATTAGTGCAATCCCCATCAAAATGCCAATGACATTCTTCACGAAACTAGAAAAATAGTCCTAAAGTTCATTTGGGAGAATGAACGTCCCAGGCTAGCCAAAGCAATTCTAAGCCAGAAAAGCAATGTTGTAGGTATCACAACACCTGATCAAATTATACTACAGAGCTATAGTAACAAAAACTACACAGGCATAAAACCAGACACATAGGTCCATGATTCAGAATGGAAGACACAGAGACAAACACACAGATTTACAGTCATCTGATCCTTGATAAAGGCACCAAAAACATGCTGAAGAAAAGACAGCTTTTTAACAAGTGGTGTGGAGAAAACTGGTTATCTATATGTAGAAGAATAAGAGAAGATCCTTATCACTCACCCTGAACAAAAGTCCAAGTGCATCAAATACTAGGAATGAGATCAGAAATTTTGCAACTGCTTGAGGAAAGTGTAGGGTTAACACTGCAACATACAGGCAACAATTTCCTCAGTAGGATTCCTAAAGCTCAGGAAGTAATACCAAGAATTGATATTTATCGATGGATCCAAGAAAACAAGAATGTGAAGAGAGAATATATAGAATGGGAGAAAATCTATGCTAGCTACTCATCTGACAGAAGATTAATATCCAGAATATACAAAGAACTCAAAAAGCTTAACACCAAAGGAAAAAAAAAATTAATAAATGGGCCAATGAGCTAAATAGACACTTCTCAAAAGAGTAAATATAAATGGTCAAATATATGAAAAAGTGTTCAACATATTTATCAAATCAAAAGTAGATAGATTTCATCTCATTCCAGTTAGAATGACACCCATTAAGAATACAAATAACAAATGCTGGAGAGGATGCAGAAAAAAAGGGACACTTTTACACTCTTAGTAGGACTATAAATTAGTACAACCACTATGGAAATCAGTATGGAGTTTCCTCAAAAGACTAGGCATGGAACTCCCATACAACCCAGCTAGACCACTCTTTGGTATAAAGAATTAAAGTCATCATATTCCAGTGATAAATATGCGACCATGTTTGGGGCTGAGGCTGTGGCTCAGCGGTAGAGCGCTCGCCTAGCACTTGCGAGGGCCTGGGTTCGATCCTCAGCACCACATAAAAATAAATAAAATAAAGATTTAAAAAAATATGCAACCATGTTTATAGCAGCACAAGTCACAACAGCCAAACTATGGAACCAGCCTGGGTGTCCATTGACAGATGAAAAAATAAGGAAAATATGGTGTGTGTGTGGAAAATATGGTGTGTGTATATATATATATATATATATATATATATATATATATGGAAAGTATGATACACACACACACAATGGAGTTTTATCCAACCATAAAGAAAAATGAAATTTTGTCATTTGAAGAAAAAATGAATGGGACTGAGAACATTATGTTAAGTAAAATAAGCCAAACTCAGAAGGTCAAGTGTCCTATGTTTTCTTCCATATATGGAAGCTAGAGGATAAAGGGAAAAAAAGTGATGGTGGGGGTCTCATGAAAATCAAAGGGAGATCAGTAAAGTAGAGGAAAGGAACCAGGGGACAGAGGAAGGAGACAAAGGGAAAATACTAGGGAAATTACATTGTTACTGTATGCATGTACAACCATGTGACAACAAACCTACTATTATGTAAAACAATGATGTATCCATAAAATAAAAAACGAAAGATATATTAGAGCAAATTTAGCATTGTTTAAATTGATTAAAATTAATTATATCAGAAAAAATAAAAGATCATATATTTTGTGATTCCTTTCATAGGAAATAACCAGGATAAGCAAATCTATTGAGGCAGAAGGAGATTGGTGGTTGCCAGGGATGGGGGAGGGAGGAAGGAGGGATGATTACTCAGTGGGTGTTGAGTGTCTTTCAAGTGTAATATAATGCTTTTTTTTTTTTTAGATTTGGAGAAAATAGTGGTGCAATATGGTGATTGCATTAAATGCTATTGAATCATACATTTTAAAATGATGAATTGCATATTAAGTGAATTTCAACTTAATTAGGAGCAAATCCCCACAAGCTGCTGACTGTGGTGTGCAAACTCCTAACTCCCTGAAATCACTGCTTTCAGGGGAGGCCACCTGAGGGGATGGTGACCATGGTAGTATTGGGCAAATGACACTGAAAATGACACCCTGGATGGCAGGGTGGATGATAGGCAGGAGATTATGGGACCTAAATTAGGAAAAGGCAATAGAAGGAGAGAGCAGAGCTGCCAGCAGACTAGTGTTGGGGACTAAATGTGCAGGATTGAGAGCCCTGGAGGCTGAGGAAGACCCAGCAGTCCCAGTGCAAGACTGGCATCCCCAGTCCAAGGTAGGAGCCAGTCTTGTGTGGAGCTGGTTGAAGCAGAGTGATCATCACTGTCTTCAGGGTTCCCATACACAGACTGGCTGGAAGATGAGGGCAGGCAAGAGGGCAGGCTGCAGTCTCCCTATCACCTCTTCTTTCTGTCCGGCAGATGTTAAATCTATTTGTGGCTGTGATCATGGACAACTTTGAGTACCTAACGCGAGACTCTTCCATCCTTGGGCCTCACCACCTGGACGAGTTCATCCGGGTCTGGGCTGAGTACGACCCAGCTGCGTGGTGAGTGAGCCCCAGTGTTCTGTGGTTTCAGGGGTGTCCCCACCCCTGGCTGCCAGGACAGGGTGGGTGGCCTTGGACATGTCTCACTTGAGTGCCCCTTCAAGTGTTGGTTGGTGCCCAGGATGGTGCTGATGTCCCCTCAGTGGTTCTTTCTTTTTGGTCTTACATACTTTGATGCATCTCTGGGCAGAGACATGGACTTTGAAGCCTCAGTTTGGCTGTGCCCAGGGCACCTGTGAGGCTGGTGCTCCTAGTGCACGGGCTTTCTTGCTTTTCCGAAGGCCTATCATGTCAGGGGTGCACGGGGAGGAGACAGCATGGCCCCACATGCTGTGAGGCTTGGAGAGCTTTGAGAACAAAAATAATGTGGGGTCTTAGGGACCCCACGCGCAGGGCCCAGGGGTCTTCCTCTCTGCCATCTCCCTTGGGAATAGAAGCCAAGGTGTACCTCTGCCCCAGCCCTGGTTGCACATAATGGGTACTTGGTGAGCTTCTATTGAAAACAAGGGAGCTACCAGGAAGGCTCTAGTACGTTTAAGACCCTTTACCATGGGAAGGTTTACATGTTACATAAAAGAGGTGTGATTGTTTTCCACGTGGAGCAAGGCTCTGATGGGGAGGGTTTGGTCCAAAGGTGAAGTCATTGGAGACCCTGCTCCATGAAAGAGCCCTGCACACCCATTCTGTGCTGTGACCCTAGGACAAGACCACAGTCAGGAAGGCAGGCAGAGTACCAGGCTCTCACCTGCTTTCTCCCTCACTCACCTGGCCCCTCCTTCCTTCATTCACCTGCTCCCTCCCTCACTTACCTGATCACTCACCTGCTCCCTCCCTCTCTCACCTGCTCCCTTCTTCACATACCTGCCCCCTCCCTCCCTCCCTCACCTGCTCCCTTCCTCACATACCTGCCCCTTCTATCTCTCACTCACCTACTCCCTCCCTCACTTACTTTCTCCCTCCCTCCTTCACTCACCTGCTCCCTCCCTCCCTCCCTCACCTGCCCCCTCCCTCACTCACTTGCTTCCTCCCTCACTCATCTGCCCCCTCCCTCCCTCCCTCCCTCACCTGCTCCCTCCCTCCCTCCTTCACCTGCTCCCTCCCTCCCTCCCTCACCTGCCCCCTCCCTCCTTCCCTCACCTGCTCCCCCCTCACTCACCTGCCCCCTCCCTCACCTGCTCCCTCCCTCACCTGCTCCCTCCCTCACCTGCTCACTCCCTCTCTGACTTATTCACTTACTTACTCACTCAGACAGTAGTGCCTGAAGGCTGTCCCCTGCAAGATAGGACACAGGGGAGTGTCTGGGAGGCCTGCCTGTGCCTTTCTTCCCTGAGTGCTCAGGAGCCATGCTGTGATGGGTGGTTGTCAATGGGTGGGTGATGCTCACTCACTTCCTGTGCCCTGTGGGGATGACAGAACTGTGCAGTGGGGCAGCTGCCTGCCCGACCACGTCTGCCTCACATGGGCAGAGAGCCTGGAGGAGGTGGCCAGCCCCCTGTGGTGTTGTTCTGCACTCCATGGATCTCCTAGGGCTCTGCCTGCTTTTCCTTAACTGGAGCCAAGTTTTCCCTACCTTGGGGCTTGATGGGACTCCTTCATCCCATCTCCCTTGGCCTCTGGGGAGCACCCCCCATCACAGCAAGGACACAGGGGTTACGACTTGAAGCCTCCTCATCTGGGCAAATCCCATAGCCACCAGTGTCTAGAGACTCTGAGACACTGGCCGCTCCTGTCCAGGCTTCTCTAAGACTACAGCATCTCCTTGTATATTTTCCATCTTAAGGAGAGGTTTATGGATTTTCACAGTACAGGAGCAGCATAGTGGCTATGTGCATTCAGTGGTGCCCATGCCCATTTCCCTGGCTTTGGAGAACCTTGTTGTTGCTGGTGCACCCGTATCTTTGTCCTCTATGCCCAAGATTCTTACTAGAATACACAGGCTTCGGGTCTGTGGCCAGGAGACTGAGCCTTGTCACACAGGGCAGGGCAGGCAGATTCTACCTTAGGCATGGTTTAGGAGGGCTCCAGGAAAGTCATCCAGGCCTGGTGGCCTCAGGTGTCACTGCCATTTCTGGATGTTTTCCCAAAAGGAGAGTGTTGCAGAAAACAGATACTTTGCCGGATGCACTCCTGTAATCCAGCAGCTCAGGAGGCTGAGGCAGGAGGATCACAAGTTCAAAGCCAGCCTAGCAAGGCCCTGTCTCAGATTGGGGGCTGGGGATGTCGTTCAGTAGTAGAGCACCCCTGAGTTCAACCTTCGGTACTGCAAAAATCAAACAAGATAATGCAGAGCATGCTTTATGTGATGTGATCTGCACTGAAGGAGGAAGCCAGCCACAGGGAGGCAACAGCCAGGTCTTCCACACGTGACTGCAGGCAAGAGCAGAAACAAAAGTGGATGTGGGCCCACGCAGCTTTGTGATTGTGTGCAGCAGAGCTCAGACTATCTCTCAGATTCCAGGGAAAAGAACATGGGGCTCTGGAAGGTGTGGGTGGTTGGGATATGGTAAAGAAAGTCCTGTGGAGGAGTAGATAGCAGAGCACAAGCCATGCCCCAGTGGGGCATAAATGACACATAAGACCCAGGAACCCCGAGGGGCAGGCACGCTCTCTAGGCAACACATGGGAGTGCTCCCATGTGTGCCTAGTGCCTCTAGACTGCCCGAGGAGGCAGACAGCCCAGAAGCTGTGACCAGGCAGCCTGTGTCTGGATCCACCTCTGGGTAGAGGAGAGAGAACCTTGGTCTTCAGTAGCCTCCACAACAGATTCAGGCGAGTAGTCATCTTTATTTCCCTGGTCTCCTCCTGATTTGAGAGAAACTTTGAATCTGTAACAAAACTTTGTTAAATTTCCCAACATTTGTGTATGCATGTATATGCACATGTGTGGCTAGGTTTGTATACACAAGCACAGACTTGTGTTCGTTGTGCAGATGCACAGGTATATTTGTGTGCATGTGTGAGCCCATGTATAATATGTATGTAATGTGTGTTCACACAAATGTGTGTACATGTGCATGTTTGGGGCATACATGTGATTGTGAGAGTATGTGTGTATATGTGTGCAAGGGAGCTGCATCTTTGTGTGTACATGCCTATATTTGTGTGCACGTGAGGGGTGTTCACAGGTTCATGCACATGCTGTGAGTGCAGGTGTGTGAGTTCACTACGTGTTGTATGCACATGGCTGTGTGTGCATGTGTGTGAGCGCGTGCATGCTGTGGGAGGCAAGGAAGGCATGGGTTGTTGATTTCTGGCACTGCCTTTCCTCAGCCTCTTTTGTTGCCTTAGCACTTGTGAGGAGCTGTGGAGACTCGAGAGGAGAATCACAGTCACATTTCTTGGAGTGATCTGTCTGCTTGTTTTATGTTCACCCCTCTGCCAGTGAACGTTTCCTGGGTGTAGCTGTGTGTTGGGCTGGGTCCAAAGAGGAAGCAGGCACATGTCTCAGAGCAGCATCCAGGCTACACTGTGGGAGGCAATGGCCTTCACTCGAGGCCGGACGTTTCTGAGGAGGAAAGGTGGTATACCACTTGAGCAAGATGGGTGGAAGAGAGGGAAGGGTGGGAGCAGAGGTGTGGGAAGAGCAGGAGGGTTGTGCCAGGCTGGAGTGGAGAATGCATTACAAAGGGCCTGGAAGGAGTCTGGGATGGCTGAGACAGGGCCTGAAATTTGGGTTGAGCAAGTTGCTTCCATATTTTTTTTTGTAGACAGTGGGCAAACTTTTGAATTGGGGACTGATAGTATCAGGCCCCAATGTTTCCTCTAGTGGCATCTGATTGATTTGATAGGCAGGGTAGTCCTGAGGCCAAAAATCTGTCATGTACCCAGCACCCTATAATGGTAACTAGGGTCCAACAGGTGAGCAAGCCACCTTGGGTGAAGCCAGAGTGAAGGTTTCTCTTCTTCTTCCAGAAGAAATTTGACACGACTTGGAACTGATTGGAAAAAGGGGACGATAGCATAGGAGAGGAGGGCAACAGTGGTGGCCCAGGGTTGCTGGCCCTGGAGAAGGGTGTCCTTAGATGGACCAGCAGGTTCCAGGGCAACACACAGTGTGTCGGGGAGATGGGGACTGTCAGGGGACATCTGCCCCAGGACACAGCTATCTCATCCGGGTTTTTCCTCCGGTTGCTGTGATGGGGAACCAGAAGGGGCCAGGGTAGAAAGAAACTTGTGGAGAGAGGCCCCAGCACTCAGGGAGTGAGAGGGGCAGACAGGGACAGGGAGGGCATGGCAGGCCCAGGTGAGCCCCACCAAGCACGGGGAGGGAGCAGTGTGTGCAGAATGGGGGCTCGGCGTGGGCCTGTGGGTGTGGATGTGTTCTACCTCTGCAGAGTACTTGGGCTCCGGAATTGATCTTGGGATTGACACACCTCCTGGGGAGCTCCAAACCCCAGGCCCGCAGCAGTTGACCTACCCAGCTGCACTCCTGCCTCCTTCAGGACTGCTCAAGACCACGTCCTCCCCTCCTGCTGGGTGGGCGGGCGGGATGGGCTGCACCCTGCCTTTGTTGCCATAACCTGTGACATTTCCTTTCCAGTTGCCGGATTCATTATAAGGATATGTACAGTTTGTTGCGTTGTATTGCGCCACCCGTTGGCTTAGGGAAGAACTGCCCTCGTAGGTTGGCCTACAAGGTTTGCAACTTCAGAGCCTCCATCCAACATAATTCCCTGCCCGAATCGCAAACACAGCACACACTCCCTGCCTGGTTTGGGAATGATGACACCTCACCTGTCTTCCTTCTGCCCTGCCCTGCCCCGCACTCTGGCCTCCGTGATGCTTTGGTTCCCTGTCAATCTCCCTGATCCCTCCAGCTGGCTGGGGGCAGGCAGCTTTGGAGACAGTGCACAGAAGGCTTTCTGGCCAGGCCATGTCAGCCAGGAGCAGCCACTGGGTGGGGCCAGGTTCTGCACTAGGATGCAGCCGTGTCACCCGGGTTTTTCCTCGAGGCTCTCGTGGGTGGGCTGACGGTCAGATAGGCCAGAGGCTGAGGGCCCGTGGGAGGGAGCTTGGACCCTAGTAAACAGGAGCAGCTGCCCCTCTGGTTCCTATGAGGTTTCTGGTTCTCTGGGGGTTTGGGGGAGGCAGAGGCAGAGTGGGGCCCAAAGACAAGCCCACTTGCATTGCCTCTAGATGGATCTGCTCAGCACAGTGGAGGAGCCCCTGGTGTAGAACTGTGGGAGGAGAGCAGTGTTGGGCAGACCCACCTGCCGGGAAGAGGCCGGGTCTGAACCTGCTGTGCCTCTGGGACCCCAAGCCTGGGAGCAGGCACCCAAGGGCTGAGGGAGGCCCCAGACCCAGTGGCCTCTCTGATTGGGGAACACTTCATCACAAGCCTGAGACACCTCCCTGAGTCCAAGCCTTGGGTTCCAGGCCCACCAGGAGGCTTGCCTCTCTGTTGGTGGGGCTTACGCTGTCAGGCGGTGCAAGAGTGGCGCCAGGCCATGCCTGCCCAGCTGCTCCCCACCTGAGTCTCCTCCCTACCCAGCCCTGACCCCAGCAGCAGCCCTGCCCGGGTTGGCCTCGGGCGTCTCTGGGCTTGGAGCAGGACTTGGCCCAGGGTCGAATTTGGCTATAGAGCTTCCAGACTCCCTCTCTAGTTTCCTGGTCTGTCGCGGATTTCCCTCACTCTAGCCTCTGGTCTCACCTGGGAGCCGATGTGACTGCTGCGGCAGTGGCCGTAGCAGCTGTGGCTCAGCCACAGCCTTGTCTCCACAGCACTCCGCAGCTCTTCCCGCATGGTGAAACAGCGCTTTCTGATTTGGCCTTATCTGTGTTCTAAAAGAGTAAACCAGAAATTCACAGCCCAAAGCCGCCCCGATGCAGCCCTTTCCCTCCATGTTCATTAGCTCAGACGTCACCCCGCCCGCTGTCCTGCGTGGGGCTGGAGTGAGGAGGTGAGGCTGGGGGTGGGGCCGCAGGGTCCAGTCAAGCAGAGAGAGCCCTCACTTTGCCTCTTGGTTGTGGGCATCTAACCGGACACTGATTAACTGGATCTGTTTTCTTGTCTGCTTCTTCCCTGCCCCTGCTCCCTGCTCTGCCCCTCCTGCTGTGCCTCCTCCCGTGGACCACCCACTGTGCCCGGGCCTCTCTGGGACGGGGTTTCCAGTGGGCGCATCAGTTACAATGACATGTTTGAGATGCTGAAGCACATGTCCCCGCCTCTGGGGCTGGGGAAGAAGTGCCCTGCTCGAGTTGCGTACAAGGTAGACCCTGAGCCTGCACCCCAGAGCCGTCTGTGCCAGGGCTGGGCCTGCCCGGCCTGCAGCCACAGGGTGCTCCTGGGCTCTCCTGTCTGCTTCCTCAGGGCTTGTTGGCTGACTGCACCCGGCTGCCTCCCTGTTCCTGTCTCCTCTACCCCATGCCCTCTCTGCTCCTATCCCAGACAAGGGGACATGGCCACCACCATGTCTCTGCACTGGCCCAGGGTACACAGCGCTGGCTGCCCCCTCTGCTGACAGCCCCAGAGAGGCTCAGGAAGATGGAGCCAGAGTTTAGGTCACTCCCTGCCCTCCACCCTGCCTTTCCCTTCCTAGGAATGAGGGGACAGACCAGTTTCTTGGACAGAGGTGGTTTTTTTTTCTGGGCTCAGAGCCACTCTGGCTGCCCTGTTTCCTAGGCTCTAGTGTGGGTGATATTGTCAGGTCCTCAGGTCAGGCCCTGGGTGCACGTGGGAACTGCAGGACCTCTGGTGCTTCTGCACACACCTGCCTGCCGAGCTCTTTTAAGTACAGGTTCCCAGGCCAGGCTACAGTCTCCAGAGGCTCCTGGGCTCCCTGGTGGGAGGGAAGCACTGTGGTTTCAAGAAAGAAAGGGTGTAGAGGGGCATTTTGCTATCAATCATGGGGTTTCAGCGGCCACTGCAGGAGAAGCACCTTCTCAGGGCCTGGAGTCAAGGTGGCCAAACTGTAAGGAAGGGATAGACCAAGGGTGTCTCCTGGCCTCCCTCCTGGGGCTGGGCAGGCCAAGCCCGCTGTCCCTGCCCGTACCATCATCAATCACCCACCCCTTCTGGGCCCCTTCTGGGCCCCACTGCTTCCAGCAAACAGGACTGGCCTGTGTCTCCCTCTGTCTAAGGGAGCTTCTCACAGAGTTTCCCCAATTCGCTGGGTGTCTCCTGTCCACCCTGTCTCTGTGCCCCATTCTAGGTCTTCATCTGCCACCTGATTCAGAGCAGCCTGTGGGAGCTGAGCAGCTCCTCCCAGCCACACACAGATGCCTCTGGTGTCTTCCTCGGCCCCTCCCCACCCCTGACTCGCATGCGGGTTGTGTCTGCCAGAGGCCCTGCATGCAAGGCTGTAGCTGTGACCCCAGGAGGGAGAGCTCTGTCCACATCGACACCAGGCTGGGTGGCAGGCTGTGAGGCCCTACCCAGCCTTGCCACCTGACTCCGAGGTTTTGGGTGTGGTGAGACCCTGGAAGGCTTCAGAGTGGGAATGAATGGCCCTGGGGAGCTGGGGAGGGAGCTGATACCTGTTTGCCCTGACCTTGCCCTTATACTTCTCAGAGGTCCCTGGCCCTTGGGGGCCCTGGGCAGGTAGTGGGATCCCTGGTGAGTGCAGCCCTCAAGCGCCCTGGACGGAGCTCTCCCCTCTTGGAAACCATCTGCTTGCTCCTCTTTCACTCCCATCCCGACTCCCCTCCCTGGGAGAGGAATTCCTTGGCCTCTCGCACTGCCATCGGTGCCGGTCTGCAGGGACGCCATGCTCTGGGAAGCAGGTTTTTCCTGGTGTACAGCACACATGCTGTGTGAGGTCCTGACACCATGGCTGGATGTGCCAAGTGGAGCTTTGCCAGCATTCGGGGGACAACGTCTGGCTTGTGTCTTCAGCACCCCCACCTCTGTCACTCTGAGGCCACAGAATGCAGGGCCAGGATGCTGGGGACAGGGCTGCGTAGCCTCCCCAGGGAAGGGACTAGAGGACTCTGCTACCACAGGGTACACACCCCAGCAAGGAGTTCCTGACTGCAGCCCCCATCGTGGGCAGGGGACAGCGTGGTCAGGGTGCTTGTGGGCTCCATGTAGCACCCCAGATGCACCCAATCCCCCATTTTCCCTCTAGGCCTCCTTGGCTCTCAGTGCCTGAGGCTCTGGTCAGCTATGGGCCCAGCCCCAGAGGACCATACTGCCAATGTGCCTGTCTCCAACTGCTCTGCCCTAAAAACTGAGGAGAGGGAAAGGGCCCACTCAACACGGGGATGGGGAGAGAGTGTTCCTGGCCACCCGAGCTGTGGCTGGAGGAGCCGGAGGCCCTATGTAGTGCCCTCAGTTCTGGGTCCTTCTGACTGGAAGGAGCTGGTCTTGAGGACACCTCTTGCTGCCTTGAGCTGAGATGTTCTCTGCCTTCTGATGGCACTGAGCTGGATGGTAAGAGGTGGAGCCCTTATGGGCCTGAATTAAAGTCACCCCTTGAGGGGTGCTCAATGCCATCTGGGTCTCAGAGCAACACTCAGGGCCATCACCTCTTGTCCAGATCACCCAGCTACACAGAAGGAGGCGAGATGACAGAGTGCAGGATAGGAGCCCCCTCCTGTCTGTGAACCCTCCTTGAGGCCTCTGTCTTGGACCTTCCTTAGCCAAGGCCACAGTCCCTTTTTCTATCCTTGGGCAGTGGACAAAGATCCCTCTGGCTGAGAGTGTCCCTGTTTTCCCCGAAGGCCCTGGCTCCTGGCCCCACATCCTTACTCGAGTCCCCACTTTTCTACAGCCAGGAGAATCCTTAGCTCAGATGAGGGTAGGGCCGAGGGTGAGTGTGAATGCTGGCAAAACTCCCATCCACCCAGACTCGCTTGGCCTAGGTACCTGCAGGGACCACCTCAGGGAGCTCAGCAGGCCTCCATGGACTCTGAGCACGGCATAGTCCTAGGGTGGGGTGACCCCATCGCACCTGGCCCTGACCTGCCCCCACTCCTCCCCAGCGCCTGGTTCGCATGAACATGCCCATCTCCAGTGAGGACATGACTGTGCACTTCACATCCACGCTGATGGCCCTCATTCGAACTGCACTGGAGATCAAGCTGGCCCCAGGTAGGTGAGGTCTCAGAGGAGGGAGGGCAGACCATGACCACTGCCTAGAGAACCAACCCCAGGTGATCTGCAGGGAAGAGTGGGGAGGCGGCTCTGTCTGGAGGGACAGCTGTACCCAGCAGCAGCTCTCGCTCCTGGTAGTGTCCACACGTGAGCAATGGAGTGGCCCCATCTTCAGGCAGGAGGCCAAGGCACCGCCAGCAGTGGTGGCCAGACATGGCCCAGCCCAGGCTGCATGTGCCTTCTGCTCCCTTCCCCTTCACAGAGAGCCTGAAGCCACCAGACGGGACCTGCTGTCCCCGCCCCGCCCTGCATCCACCCTGGGGCTCTGCCCTTTCCTGCTGGGAGACATTGAGGCCAGCCCCCTGCACACCAGGTCCCACTCCTCAGGGACATCACACACATGCGTTAGCTCTGGCTTGGTGGACTTTCCCTCTCCTGAGTTACTTGTGTCCGTTTCTCCTTCCTTTAAAGGCTTCTGCTCTCTCCTCTCTGTTGATTCCTTCCCCCTTGGCAGCCAGCTCCCTGTGCTGGTCTCTGCTCTCTGGTTCTCTTTTCCAGTCCACACTTGGGCTCATGGCCCACTCTGTTGGATCTGTGTCATGTTGAAGGACCCAGAGGTCAGTTTTCAGTGCTCACCTGGTGGCCCTGCTGCAGCCCTCCTCCGTTCCCACTCCCTTCTGCTTGAAACCTTTTACATCTCGTCATTTTTTTTCTTGCCGCCCTCACTCTGAATGGCAGTATGCTTCCAGGCATTCTCTTTGCCTCAAAAGCATCGTCTCTACTTGCTCCTTCACCACCTCACCTATTCCCAGGGCTTTGAATATTAGGAACTCAGTCTTGCGTTCTGGTCCACCCCAGTGTTCCTCAAGTTACTGTGTCACCGGGAAGCCCAGTCAGTGCTGCGCAGTTGACTCCCATGAACTTAGCTCCAGGTCTCACAGTCTCCTGGCCTCATCAGTGGAGAACTATTCATCCTGCTCCATAGCCAAACCTTGGAATCATCCTTGTTGCCGTTTCTCCTTTTAATTTTGGATTTGTGTTTGATCTCTTATCATATCTTCTTGACTCTGCCTTCAAAATATATCCAGGAAGTGTTTACTTCTATCTCTCTGCCAACTGCCAGCTCCTGGTCCCAGCCTGTCAACTCTTGATGTGTTGCTGCAGCCTTTGACCTGGTCTGTGTCTGCCCTTCAGCATGACAACCTGAATGATCAGGGGAAAACCAACACAGTTGATGGTCCTCTCTTTTTCCTCTGATGAAGAGAGAAGCTGCAGATAACCAATGTAAGGAATAAAAGAAGGGCATCACTGTGGATCCTGTTGACAGGAAAAGGATAGCAATGGAATGTTATGGTCGACATCATGTCAGTGAATTCAACAACTTAGATGAAATGGAAAAATTCCTTGAGAACACAAACTACCGAGCTCTTTCAAGTGTAGATAACCTCAGTGATGCTATTTGTGTTAAGTAAACTAATAGTAAGAGCCTTCCAACAGAGAAATTCCAGGCCTAGATGGTGGCACTGGTCAGTCTACTAAACATTCAGTGAGAAATGTTCAGACTGTGGTCAATCCTATAGACTCCTCCAGAAAATACAAAAGAGAGAGTATTTCCCACCCTATTTTAAATAAGCTTTACTTTGATCCTAAAATCAATGATATAACACAAAAATAAATTTATAGACCCATATGCCTCATGAACAGAGATATAGAAATCTTCAACACAACTTTATCAAACAGAATTTAGCGATACATAAAAGAAGACAGTGCATGGCGATATAGTTGGGGTTTATTCCAGGAATGCAAGGCTGGTTTGGTGTTCAAAACTCAATGAATGTAATTTACCATATTAAACAATTAAAACTGTATGGTATCAGTAGTCACAGAGAAAAAGCATTTGACAAAATGTAATATTAGTTCATGATAAAATTTCTATGTAAGCTCAGAAAGAAACCTCCTTCAAGCCTAACATATCACCCCACAATGATAAAGGTTATCTATGGAAAAACTTCAGCTAATAATGCCATATTTAAGCAAAGAAAGACAGATTCTCTCCTAGGATCGGGAACAAAGCAGAGATCTGCAGTCACCACCTATGTTCAATGTGGTACTTGATGTCTCAGTCACTGTGATAGGGCAAGAAGAAGAATGAGAGCGAGAAGTGGAAGTCCCTGTGCACACCATTGGCATGACTACCTGTGCGAAAAGTCCCAAAGAGTCTGTTGTAAAAGTGGCTGAAACTAGTGAGTGTAACGGGCTCACAGGATGTAAGGCCAGTACACAAAGGTCAATGTGTGACTCTGGGCTGGCAGTGAGTGGCTGAAGTGGAAGCAAAGGGCTCATGAAAGTAGACCACAACCATGGAATTACTTAGAGTCTTCACTTAGGATGTGTGTGCTATCAGTTAGAAAACATTCATAAGAGGAATCAGAAAACCTAAATACGTGGAGCGTTTCTGTGTGATGTTCATGGATGTGAAGACTCGGTGTTGCTGGGACATCAGTTCTCTCTACATTAATCATCAAAATCAACAGGCTTCTTGGTAGTAATTCACAAATCAAATCCAAAATTTATGAGAAAAGCAAAAGAACTTGAATGATAGTTCTGAAAATGAAGAACAGAGTTCGAAACTTACCCTTTTCAACAAAGCATCCTTGATCTATGTGTGGATAAAAGGGTGGAGACACAGAGCAATGGGTAGAATAGATTCTCTCACTCATGTGATCAGCTGATTTCAACAAAGTTGCAAAGGCAATTAAAGGGGAAAAGATCATCATTCCCAACAGATACTGCTGGAAAAATTCAGACAAGTATATGCAACATGAAAAAAATTCTTGACTCGCACGACCTTAGTCTGCTCAGGCTGCCTGCACATAATACCAGAGACTGGGCAGCTTAAGCAGACAGAAACTCACCTCCCGTAGTTCTGGAGGCTGCGAAATCTGAGAGCAAAGTGCAGGCAGCGTAGGCTTTGTCCCGAGGACTACTCTTTTGGCTTCTAGGCAGCTGTCTTCTTGCTGTCATCTCATGGCCTTTCCTCTGCACAAGGTGAGAGAATACGCGTGCCCTCTCTGGGGTCTTATAAGGACACGGACCCTATGGGTCAGGCCCCACCCTTAGGCCCTCATTTAATACCAATTACCTGTGACAGGCCTGGTCTTCCAACATGGTCACATCAGTGATGAGGCTTTTTTAAGTGAATTTTTGGGGAAAACAATTCAATCTATAGCACTTGAAATGGGTCATAGACAAATATAGAATCTCAAAACATAAAACATCTGGAACAAAATGTTGGCAACTTTGAGTTAGGCAGAGATTTTTTAACACACAAAATACATCAACCATAAAAAAACAAGTTGATAAACAACTTCATTAAAATTAAAACTTTTGGGCTGGAGTTGTGGCTCAGTGGTAGAGTGCTCAGCTTGCATGCATGAGGCACTCAGTTTGATCCTCAGCACCACATAAAAATAAAATAAAGATATTGTGTCCACCTAAAACTAAAAAAAAAAATATTAAAAAAATTAAAATTTCTAGGCTGGGGACATATTGCAGTGGTAGAGCTTGCCTAGCATATGTGAGACCCTGGGTTCAATCCCTACCACTGCAAAAAAAAAAAAAATCATCTAATTTCCAAAAATAAAATTTTAGCTGTGCAAAGTGTTGTATACCTGTAATCATAGCAACTCAGGAAGCCAAGGCAGGAGGGTTCTAAGTTCAAGGCCTGCCTGGGCATCATAGTGAGATCCTGTCTCAAAAATAAATAAAATTTTTGCTCTTCCAAAGATATTTAAGGGGCTGAAGATATAGCTCAGCAGTTGAGCACTTACGTTATTATGTGCAAGGTCCTAGGTTCCATCCCTAGCACTGCCCCCAAATAAAAAGGTATTTAAGAAAATGAAGACAAGCCTAAGATTTAGAAAAGATATTTGCTTAACACATGTCTAATATAAGGATGGTATCCATAATATATTATAAAAGTCACAATAAGAAAATAAACAACATTCTTCATAGAAACAGAAAAAGCACTCCTGAAATTCATTTGGAAAATAAGAGACCCAGAATAGCCAAATCAATCCTTAGCAAGAAAAGTGAAGCAGGAGGCATCACGGTACCAAACCTTAAACTATACTACAGAGCCATAGTAACAAAAACTGGCATGGTATTGACACCAGAACAGACATGTAGACCAGTGGTACAGAATAGAAGACACAGAGACAAACCCGCATATATACAGTTATCTCGTACAAGACAAAGGTGCTGAAAACATTGATTGGAGAAAAGACAGCCTCTTCATCAAGTGGTCCTAGGAGAACTGGAAATCCATATGTATCAAAATGAAACTAAACCCCTAACTCTCAACCTTTACAAAACTCATAGACAGTATGTGTGGGGACAAGTGCATGGAGTACTTCCTGCATGACATATGGGTCTTTGTTCTAGCACCTGAGTGGCAAACCACTCCCCATATGCTAGGCGTGAGCGGCAAACCACTTACCTGTAGGCACAGCCCTGGGCATAAGACTGTGTGTAAGTACTCGCTCCATGGCCCGCTCCTTGATTGGTTGCCTCAAGTACAGTTGGAAGAAATTGTATTGGTGGCTGCCTATGATCTGCTTAGCTACTGTTATATGCAATAAAATCAGACCTGCTTCCAGCTTGGTCTCCAGAGGTCTTGATCCGTGACCCCGCAGCCACACTCTCCTCTACCCAGTTCTGTGGACCTCCTCGCTGGACGAGAGAGAGCCCACGCAAATATATAAAATTCTTAATTCTTCTAATTAACACCTCTTTGTGCAAATTTAGGAATTCCCTGTCCATGCCCTTGTCCTTTTCTATCAGGGTGATTTTTTAAAAATTTGTTCTAATTTGTTATCTATAACAGAATGCATTTTGACATATCATTCATAAATGGAGTATAATTTCTCATTCTTCTGATTGTACATAATGTAGAATCACACTGATCATGTAATCATATATGTACGTAGGGTAATACTGTCTGATTCATTCTACTATTCTTTCTACCCCTGTACCCGCTCCCCTCCCTTCACTCCCCTCTGCCTAATTCAAAGTACCTCTATTTTTCCCTAGCACCCCCTTATTGTGAATTAGCATCTGCATATCAGAGAAAACATTCGGCCTTTGGTTTTGGAGGATTGGTTTATTTCGCTTAGCATGATATTCTCCAGCTCCATCCATTGACCTGCAAATGCCATGATTTTATTCTTCTTTAAGACTGAGTAATATTTCACTGTGTATATATACCACATTTACTTTATTCATTCATCTGCTGAAAAGCATTTAGGTTGGTTCCATAGTGTAGCTATTGTGAATTGAGCTGCTATAAACACTGATGTGTCTCCATCACTGTAGTATGCCGATCTTTAAGTCCTCTGGGTTTAAACCAAAGAGTGTGATAACTGGGTCAAATGGTGCTTCCATTCCAAGTTTTCTGAGGAATCTCCATACTGCTTTCCATAATGGCTGCACCAATTTGCAGTCCCACCAGCAGTGTATGAGTGTGCCTTTTCCCCACATCCTCGCCAACATTTATTCTTGCTTATGTTTTTGATAACTGCCATTCAGACTGGAGTGAGATAAAATCTTAGAGTAATTTTGCTTTGCATTTCTCTAATTGCTAGAGATGTTGAACATTTTTTTGTGTATTTATTGATTGATTGTATTTCTTCTGTAAAGTTTCTGTTCAGTTCCTTGGCCCATTTATTGACTGGGTTATTTGGGGGTTTTTTTGGTGTTGAATTTTTTGAGTTCTTTATATATCCTGGAGATCAATGTTCTATCTGAGGGGCATGTTATAAAGATTTTCTCCCATTCTATAGGCTCTCTCTTCACTGTGAAGAAGCTTTTTAGTTTGGATCCATCCCATTTATTGATTCTTGATTTCACTCCTTGCACTTCAGGAGACTTGTTAATGAAGTCAGTTCCTAAGTCAACATGGTGAAGACTTGGGCCTACTTTTTCTATTAGGCCCAGGGTCTTTGTTCTAGTACCTAAGTCTTTGATCCACTTTGAGTTGAGTTTTGTGCAGGGTGAGAGACAGGAGTTTAGTTTCATTTTGTTACATATGGATTCCCAGTTTTCCCAGCACCATTTGGTGAAGAGGCTGTCTTTTCTCCAAGAAATGTTTTTGGCGCCTTTGTCTAGTATGAGATAACTGTATACATGCGGGTTTGTCTCTGTGTCTTCTATTCTGTACCACTGGTCTACATGTCTGTTCTGGTGTCAATACCATGCCAGTTTTTGTTACTATGGCTCTGTAGTATAGTTTAAGGTTTGGTACCGTGATGCCTCCTGCTTCACTTTTCTTGCTAAGGACTGCCCATGTTTAAAATGAGTGATGGTGCTGAGGAGGACTATACAGAGATAGGGAAATGTGGACTTTTGAACACTGTTAAAATGAAAGGAAGCTTTTATAATATTTCTGTAAGGCAATTTGGTGTTATGTTAATGATAAATAGATATAATAGAGATAATAAAAACTGAAATTGCAAAAAAAAAAATTACCAAGTCATAATAAGAAAATAAACCAGTTAAGCACAAGGGCACAGGCCTGCAATCTCCCAAGTTCAAGGCCAGCCTTGGTAACTTAGCAAGCCCTGTCTCAAAAAATAAAAAGAACTGGGGATGTGGCTTACTAGTAGAGTGCATGCTTAGCATGTTTAGGGCCCTGGGTTCAATCCCAAGCACATGCATGTGTGTGCATGTGCACGCACGCGCACACACACACCCAGACGAGAAAGAAATAGAAGAACACAATCATAGTGAATAATGGTAGAAGATGTGAATAGACACATTGCCAAAGAAGATACATGAAAGTACACAAGCACATATAAAGATCTAATTGGAAAAATTAATAAAATGAGATAACACTACATGCCATTATAATGACTAAAATACTCTTTTGATTGACAGTATTAAGCAAGGCAACTGAAATTCTTATGTGTTCCTGGTAATAATTCAAAATGGTACAGCCCTTTGCCAAACAATTTGCCGATGCTTAGGTGGCTCAGCCTTTTCATTAGGAGATGGAAGCCTGCATGCAGATGTTTATGGCTTTGTTCTCAATCGCCCTGAACTGTAAACAGCTCATGTGTCCATCAACTGGAGATGAGTGGACAAACCAACACATTGTCGCACTGAAATAATATTTGGCAATGAAGGAAAAAAACAGCAGTGCCAGCATTATCAGGAGTCTCAAACACCCTGCAGAGTGAGATGTGCGATGCTCACCTGATGTTCTGAAGGATGTAGAACTGCGAGACACAAACACATCAGCAACCACAGGGCTGGTAGCAGGGCTGAGGACTGACTGGCCAGGGGCTCAGAGGGCTGGGGGCATGTGGCTGTTATGCATCTTGATTAGGGTGGTGGGTGCGTTCATCAAGATATAGAATGGCAGAACTACAAAGGATGAATTGTAGTGATGTGAATTAGGCCTTAATAAAACTGGTGTTAAAGAAAACAAAACCAGGTTATTTATCTTGCTGGCTTCCCATCTGCTCCCTCCTCTGCCCCACCATACTCCCTTTCTGGCACAAAGGCCTTGGTACTTGTGGTCCTTTTCTGCCTGCAGGGTCTCACATGTATGACGCCTTCCTCCTGGGAACTTCTTGACCATCCTGTCCAAAATTTAGCCCTCTGCGGACTTCTTTCCTCTCCCCACTTTGCTCTTCCTGTCCGTGGCACTTCTCACTGTTCAATGTACTGGATTTCTTTACTTTCTGCTACTCTGCAGAACAGAGTACAAACTCATAAAGGAAGTTTTTAAAAAAAATTTTTTTTTATTTTCTGATTTTCTGTCCTGACACCTAAAACAGTACCTGACATCTAATGGGTGCTTAGTATTGTTGAATGAGTGGATGAGTGATTGAACTGCTATGTGTCACTTCTAAATTCCCATTGCTACCCCCCCAAACACACACACAGGCAGCACACATGCACACACAAGCAGCACACACAGGCAGCACACATGCACACAGGCAGCACACGGCTCACACAGGCAGCACACTGCTCACTGGCAGCACACTGCACACAGGCAGCATACTGCTCACTGGCAGCACACTACACAGACAGGCAGCACACTACACAGACAGGCAGCACACTGCTCACACTGGCAGCACACTGCACACACAGGCAGCACACTGCACACAGGCAGCACACTGCTCACAGGCAGCACACATGCACACACAGGCAGGCAGCACACTGCACACACAGGCAGCACACTGCTCACAGGCAACACACTACACACAGGCAGCACACATGCACACACAGGCAGCACACTGCACAGACAGGCAGTACACTGCACACAGGCAGCACACTACACAGACAGGCAGCACACTGCACACACAGGCAGCACACTGCATACAGGCAGCACACTACACAGACAGCACACTACACAGAGAGGCAGCACACTACACAGACAGGCAGCACATTGCACAAATGTGCCCACATATTCCTGCTGGCTGGGTGCTTTTCAGATAGCTCTGGCCAGCCTCCACACTGGTGCTTCTTCCTACCGTGCCTTTTTTCTTCTAGCACCTTCTGCATCCCATCTTCCCCCCAAATCTTTCCTCCCCTCTGCCTGCCCTAGTTCTGCCTGAGTGGGGGGGGCTTCAGGATTGCTTCTAACATTTGTCTTCCCTCCCCAATCGCCCTTGCCCAGCTGGGGCAAAGCAGCACCAGTGTGATGCAGAGCTGAGGAAGGAGATCTCCTCTGTTTGGGCCAATCTGCCCCAGAAGACCTTGGACTTGCTGGTGCCACCCCACAAGCGTGAGTGGGAGGGCAAGAAATGCCCTCTACCCCCATCTGCCCCATCCCTGTGAGGCAGGGAGGGAGAGGCAAGGGTATCTTGTCTTGCAGAGGTGGTCTTCTCCCCTGGTCCCCCTGGCAGGGACATTGGATGGCTCAGGGACTGTGGGAGGTAGTCTGGAGTCCTCCTAGTGTGAGAATGGATTGTAAGACATCCAGGGAAAGGCAGAATGGATCCTAATTAATTTATCTTGGAGGGCCCTTGTGTGGCCAAGATGGGGGCACATCAGCCCCACACCAGGTGGGACAACTGCAGCATCTGGAGGGTTCAAGAAGCTGAGCAGCTATGGCCTGAGAGTCCCTCAACCTGAGGGCATGTCCCAAAGTCCCCATAGGGGTGGGAGGTGAAGGAGAGGGCCTGCCTCACTACCTCACTCTGCCCATGTTTTCTGTGCTCTTTTTCCTGCAAACCTCCACCTCTGAGTCCTCCCTTGCCTGCTCTTCTCTCTAGCTGATGAGATGACGGTGGGGAAAGTCTATGCAGCGCTGATGATATTCGACTTCTACAAACAGAACAAAACCACAAGAGATCAGATTCACCAAGCTCCAGGAGGCCTATCCCAGGTACCTGGCTTCAGGATTCCAAGAAGCAGCACTCATGCCTACAAGCCCTGGCCTCTTGGGAACTGGGCAGTGGGGAGATTTGCACCCTGCTTAGAGAAAGTGCAGCAGTGGGAGGAGGCTCTACCCCAGTTTCCTGCTCTCCATGGACTGTTGCCTGGTGGTATCATGGAGCTCCTGAGCTGCAGAGCTGCTCTTAAGGGGCAGAAGAAAGAGGGCTGAGGATAGAGGCTCTGGGTGACATCCCTCTTCTGTGATAGGCAATGGAAGAAAGATGCCAAGTGTCTGAGGAGGGTTTTTTTTAGCAGGTGGGTGGGAGGAGAACCTGTTGTTCTTGCATGTAGGCAGGGCCACTGCTGCATGTAGGCAGGGCCACTGCTGGTGCTGCACATGGCTCTGACCAGGAAGGTTTTGGGTCCATCTTTCTGGTGCTGTCACAGCTGTGTCTTTAGTGGGCACATGAGGCTCTGTCTGGAAAGTTCTGTAGTTGCACAGCTTCCTAGGGTACTCACCAGACCGTGGATGGGACACCTGGTGCTCACACTGCACCCCTTCCTGGGCATGGCATGCACACACGGTCCAGAGCTCCAGGCAGCAGTCCTGCAGTTGAGGGGACATGAAGCTGCTCTACTGTCTGTAGCCGTCTGGACCCTGACTTGTAGGAGGGACCCTGACTCTCAGAAGTGGTGAGCTCTGCCAAAGCCACTCACGGGGCAGACCTGTAGGAGGTGTGAGGGTTCCCCACCCACTGCTCTGATCACACGTTCTTTTTCTGAGGTGGAACAGGGAAAGCAAGGGGCCCCTCACTGTAGGACAGGGAGCTCTGAGCTGGGCTTGGGTGGGAACTGGCTCCATCACATGCCACGTGCAACCTCCATGCTGAGGGCATGTCAAGGTCCACCAGGCTGGCCCCTAGAGCAGTCCCTCTTCCTGTGCCCTTCACAGATGGGCCCCGTGTCCCTGTTCCACCCTCTGAAGGCCACCCTGGAGCAGACGCAGCCAGCCGTACTCCGAGGAGCTCGGGTTTTCCTTCGGCAGAAGAGCTCTACGTCCCTCAGCAATGGTGGGGCCATGTGAGTGCCATGTGCAGGCGGGGTGGGCTGCAGGGGGCCCAGAGCCAGTGGGAGAGGAAGCAAAATTCCATTTTTTCACCCTGCCTGGCTCTCACTTCCTGCTGGCCTCAGGTTTGCTCCCTGAGGGGCTCATTGGGAACCTTGATGGCTCCCAAGGATGGGAGCTCCTGGATCCCATCCTGGCTTCAGGGACTGGCCCTGGACACCTGCCCACTCTACTGTGGGTGCAGCCAGATCAGATGCCCTCTGGTGTGCTGCAGGGAAGCCTGGGATAATCGTCACCATGAGTGGTTCTCCACTCGCCAAGTTTGAGGCTGGACTTGCAGGTGACTCCTGCGATTTCAGGTAGCAGCATAGAGCTGCCAGCTAGGACAGCTTGGCGACAGGTGCTCCTCTCTCTCCTCCAGCTTCTGCTCTGGTGCCTGCAGACCATCAGAAGCTGTTGCCCCACCTCAAGCCCACCCTTCCTGTCTGCCTGTCAGTGTTCTCTCCTCCTGGCTCCTCCACATGTTGTCCTAGATCCCCATTTTGGAATTGATTTCTGAGGCTATTGTATTTCATACACAGATGGGTCATGTCTTTTCTATCACTTAACTTTTGCCATATCACTTAGTGCCAAACCACCCAAGCCCATGTGCCATCAGCTCTCCCTGAGGGGTGAGGCAGTCTCCACGGGGCAGGGCTCTTGCAGGCTTCCTGGACAGCAGGCTTTGGTTTGTGAGGTGTGTGTGGTCTGTCACCTGTCATCACCAGTGGGCCCAGCTGCCTTGCACTGGCCCAGTGAGTGGCAGGCACCCAGGATGCAGACCCTGCTAGAACCTGTGCTCCTGCCCAGTGGAATGCAACCTAGTCACCCAAGCACTGTACAGCAGGCCTGTGTCCAGTTGTGGGCAGTGCAGAGGAGGATGCAGAGTTCAGGTGCTATGAGGAAGAGCCGTCCTGGCCTGGCCCAGCCCTACAGCACCCATTCTATGCTCTCCTTGCTGCAAGTGGGTTGGGGGCTCCAGGTTTGCATTTAGAATTAAACAGATGATTCTTTGTATATTTGTGTGTAAGAGTATGTGTTACAGATGTATGAGTGTGTAAGAGTGAATGAACTCGAGTGTGTGAGAACGTATGTGACAGTGTGTACATGTGCCAAGGGTATGCATGTGCGTGCATGTGTGTCTATGGAGAGTGTGTGTACAGATGTGTGCATGTGTGTACATGAGTATGTGTTAGCATGTGTGCCTGGTAGTGTGTGTTAGAGGGTGTGTGTGTCTGGGTGTATGGAGGGGAGGGTGTGTATAAGATCAAAAGGAGACAGAATCCAGGTGCAGAGACAAAGTGGCAGGATGGCAGAAAGGCAGCAAGCTCCTTGTCCAAGTTGCCAGCCTTATTTTTATTAGCAGGTCACATTAGGTCACTGGCATCAGTAGTGCATTAGTGTTCATTGTGTCATTAGGCAGGTTACAGAGTCAGCAACAATATGCACCTTATTCCTCAGTTACATACTAGAGTTGAAATGTGCAATGTGAGGAGCTTTGTGTAGCTCTCAGGAAAATCCATTGTTTAAAGTCACTGTTTCGTGGACAGGTTCAGGCTGAGCATAGCTTGATGAAACATTGTGGTTGTCTAATGGGAGAGTTCCCTTATTCCCAGGAGGTGAGTGCCTGAGACAAGATGGAGACTGATAAGACTCTAGCACAGAGCCTCCTCATGCAGGGCACTGCCACGGCAGCTAGGCACTGCACATGTATCATTCATCTTACTAGTTCCTGGGGAAACTGCAGAATGTTCCAAGTGTGGAAAAAGGGTGCCGGTCACCTTCCTGGAGTTTGCTCACTAGAGGAATGTTGTCCTGTACATTTCCACAGCAAGATCCTGCCAGGTGTGTGCCAGGTGTGTGTTGGAGAGTGTGTGTGCCTGGACATGTGGGGTGGGGGGCATGTGTGCCTGGGTGTGTGGGGGCAGGGAGGGTATGTGCCTGGGTGTGTGTGTGTGGGGGCATGTGTGCCTGGGCATGTGGGGGGTGAGGGTTTGTGCCTGGGTGAGTGTGTGTGTGTGTGGTTGTCTGGTGAGTTTTGGGGAGCCTGTGCCTGGGTGTGTGTGGGGGGGTATGTGTAGGTGGGTGGCGGGGGGTAGCTGCTGAGTGTTGGGAAGCCTGTGCCTGGGCGTGTGTGTGGCGGGGGTGTGCTTGCTGAGTGTTGGGGAGCCTGTGCCTGGGCATGCGTAGGTGTGTGCCTGGTGAGTGTTGGGGAGCCCGTGCCTGGGCGTTGTGTGTGTGGGGTGTGCCTGGTGAGTGTTGGGGAGCCTGTGCCTGGACGAGTGTAGGTATGTGCCTGGGTGTGTGGGGGTGTGAGGTGTCTCTTGGGTTACTCTGGGCCAGGTGTTCAGAATCAGGTACCCTGCAGGTGGCAGATGTGGCTCTTAGAGGGTAAAAAAAGCACCTGAGCTCACTAGGTTTGTCAGATCCAGGTCCAGCCCTGCTGTCCTCCCAGTGCCAGTCTTCAGGGGCTGCCTACACACCCAGTGTGGAGGGTGCCTGCAACACCCTTGGAAGATGGAGGCCATTCCTCCCAGAAACCCTGCAGGGGCAGGTCTGGCCTGCTGCCAGTACTGCCACTGTGGTCAGCAAGGCTGGCGCTCTACATTGAGCTCAGTGTGGGCCGTGCTGCAGTCTGTGACAGGATCACAGTGCAAGGGAGCTCTCCCAGCAGACCCAGTGCATAGTGAGGGTAGGTCGGGAGCAAGCAGGCCTATGTGGGTAGATGCCTGAGCAGACAGCAGAAAGCTGGGAAGGCCCTCAGGCTGGGGTTCAGGGAGTCAGGAGCTGCCAGCAGGGGACCCCTGAGAAAGGAAGCCCAGGACTAGCACTGGGGCCAGCATCTGCCGTTTGTCAGGAGGGACAAGCCCTGCACCCATTTCACAGATGAGCCCTTGTGGGGTTGAGGAACTTGCTGATTGTCCCTGGATCAGGAGGTGACAGGTACAGGTTTCCCTCAGAATGAGCACTCTGAGGCTTCTCTGCCCTTGGAGTCCCCCACCCCCCCAGCTCTGACTCTCATGGGCCTGAGCTCTGCGAGGGGCCTGCACTTGGTTCCAGCCTGCACAGCCATGCTGGGACTCCTATGACGGGGAGGGCTCATTTCAACCATGGAGAGGTGCCGAACCCCTGGCCTTGCTGAGGATAGCCAGTGAGGATTCCTCAGTAGGCATTTTGCAGCCTGTGTTCTAACCCTGCAGAGCATCCCTCTTCTCTTCTGCAGACAAACTCAAGAGAGTGGCATCAAGGAGTCCGTGTCCTGGGGCACTCAGAGGACCCAGGATGCACTTTATGAGGCTAGGGCACCCCTGGAACGTGGCCACTCAGCAGAGCTCCCTGTGGGGCAGCCAGGAACACTGGTGAGCCCTCCCTGGAGGGGGTTACATGAGATGGGGTGGGGGTGGGTAGACCGTGCCTTGTGGGGTGTGACTAGGAGGCTGCTGTCCCCGCAGGCTGCGGATGTACAGATGCAGAACATGGCACTGAGGGGTCCTGATGGGGAGCCCCAACCTGGGCTGGAGAGCCAGGGCCGGGCTGCCTCCATGCCCCGCCTGGCAGCAGAAACACAGGTGAGTAGTCTGGAGGGGTCTGTCCAGGGTGAGGGTGAGTGAGGGCCTTACCCCGTGAGACACAGAGGGGTCTGCTTGGAGGGACTGCAGGGGCCTGAGCCTCCACCCTGACATTCAGGGCTGCCTGGCTGCATGTCTGCTCCTTGCTGCCCACACCTCCTTCCTGTGCTCCTGGTTCTGGACATTGTCTCTTCTGCTCTTTGCATGTCCTTACTCATGGCCTAACCTAGCCGTAAGCGGTGCTCACCCTGACCCTCACTATCCTTTCTTTCTTCTTGCTGTTCTTGCCTCTTCTGGCCCTGAAGCCCCCATGGTGGCCAAGTGTAGAGCAGCTTCCTCATCCTTGATAGGGGTTGGCTGTGCCCCAGCCCCACAGGGAGAGCCGCTTTCCATAGTGCAGCCTTGGGGGCAGCTTCAGGGACCAGTCTCTCTGACAGACTGAGGAAAGTGATCCCTAGGCAGCTATGGGCTCCGCTTGGGATTCTCCACCTAGGCCAATGGCCCCACTCCTGGCTGCACACAGGGCCAGGCATCTGTGACTCCCAGCAGGTTCCTTCTGACTGGACCTGGGCTGCTCTTCTGCCCCCGAGCCGGCCTTACCTGCAGCCCTGTGCTTCCCCAGGCCCAGGCCATGCACCTCCTTGTCCTTTTTCCTTGCCCACAGCCGGCCCCTGATGCCAGCCCCATGAAGCGCTCCATCTCCACGTTGGCCCAGCGCCCACACGGGGGCCACCTCTGCAACACCACCCTGGACCGCCCTCCCCCCAGCCAGGCACCACATCACCACCACCATCGCTGCCACCGCCGTAGGGACAAAAAGCAGAGGTCCCTGGAGAAGGGGTCCAGCCAGCATGCCGACACAGATGGCGGTGCGTGTGGAGGGGCCTGGGGTGCCTGTTATGGGGCTGTGGCTTGATTTGGGGGATCCCAACAGCCCACGGGAATCCTCTTCCTTGGTGTTTCTCATGGCCCCAAAATGGGCTAGAGCAAAAGGAGTGAGTTCTAGGTCTGGGGACTAGTCGGGACCACATGCCACTGGCTTCCCTTCCCCAGCACCGCTGAGGTGTGTCCTGCTCCCTGTGAGGACTGGGTCTGGAAAGGTCTTCCTGCCTACGCTGGGCCCAACTGAGCTGACTTCTCCTCTTCCTGGCCAGCACCAAACAGCACGGCAGGGCCCAGCCTGCCCCCAGGAGAGGGGCCCACAGGCTGCCGGCGGGAACGGGAACGCAAGCAGGAGCGAGGCCGGTCCCAGGAGAGGAGGCAGCCCTCGTCCTCTTCCTCAGAGAAGCAGCGCTTCTACTCCTGTGACCGCTTTGGAGGCCGTGAGCACCCTCAGCCCAAGCCCTCCCTCAGCAGCCACCCCACGACCCCAACAGCAGGGGAGCCGGGACCCCCACCACAGGTGAGTGGCAGGGTGGTGTGGGCCCCTTCCAACTCCTTCCCCAGGCCACCCAGCCGCCCTGCTCTGCCTGCCGCCTGCTGCCTGCTGCACTCCAGCCGCTGTCCCTGCGTGGTTGTGCCAGGGGCTTGCTGCTCTCCCAACCACTTCTTTACCTCCCGCCTTGCTGTGCTGTGGGAAAGGGCCATCCCCCACTGCCCTCCCTCCTGCTTCCCCATGCCTCATGACCCCTGCTGCCTTGTGCTGCACACTGTGTCTGTTTGGTTTGGTTTTATTTTTTGTTTGCTGCTCTCTTTTTTTGTGTAGGGTAGTGGTTCAATTAACGGGAGCCCCTTGCTGTCAACATCTGGTGCTAGCACCCCAGGCCGAGGTGGGCGGAGGCAGCTCCCCCAGACACCCCTGACTCCCCGCCCCAGCATCACCTACAAGACGGCCAACTCCTCCCCTGTCCACTTTGCTGGGGCTCAGAGTGGCCTCCCGGCCTTCTCCCCTGGCCGGCTCAGCCGTGGGCTTTCTGAACACAATGCTTTGCTCCAGAGAGACCCCCTGAGCCAGCCCCTGGCTCCAGGCTCTCGCATCAGCTCTGACCCTTACCTGGGGCAGCGCATGGACAGCGAGGCCTCTGCCCACACCCTGCCTGAGGACACACTCACCTTTGAGGAGGCCGTGGCCACCAACTCAGGCCGCTCCTCCAGGACTTCCTATGTGTCTTCCCTGACCTCTCAGTCCCACCCTCTCCGCCGTGTGCCCAATGGCTACCACTGCACTCTGGGACTCGGCACTGGCAGCCGGGCGCGGCACAGCTACCACCACCCAGACCAAGACCACTGGTGCTAGCTGCACGGAGACCATGCTCCTCAATGCGGCAGGCACCTGCGGGTTCCCGTTGATGAGTTTTATCATCCATGCTGGGCTTCAGGGCCGCAGCCCTAGGAGGAGGGGCCGCCATGCACCTCCTTGGTGGAGGCTCCCGTTCGTTCCTCTCTCCTTCTTCCTCTTTTACACTGGATGGACTAATAAAGCCCTTCTTAGAGGGACATGGCTCTCTAACCCCTCGTGTTCTGCCTCCCTGGGTCTCATGCCACACGTCAGAGCCTAAGCAGGGCATGGCAGAGCTGAGACAGACCTGATGGGTCCAAATCCCAGGTCTTGGCCTCCAGCATCCAGAGCAGGTGCCCAGAACCTCGTTGAGGAGGCCTGAGTCTCGTGGGGAGCACTCACATCCCAATGTGTGCTGGCGGGCCGGGCACGCCTGAGAGCGTGGAAAGGAGCCCAGCTGTGGCCGGCAGCGGGCCTCCTGCTCACACACTGCTGTTGCTCTTGCCACTGAACCGCAGATGGCGTAGAGTCACACTCTATCTATCTGTCCCTGGACACTGCTGCCCCGCAGGGACTAAGTCTGGAGAAGGCACTTGCTGTCGGCGTCTGTTTGCAGCACCCTTCACTGTCATTTCTGTATACTTGATCTGGAACATAGAAAAGCAGGGGAGGAAATGTTGACTTTAAAAACCAACCTGTAGGAAGGTCTCCGCTGTTGTGTGCTCCTGTGTGGACTCCCCCAGCTCGGTCCTTCCCCGGCCGCCCTGGCTCTACCGCTCGACCAAGTGCCTGACCTCTGGCTCCTGGCATCACACGCTGGGCGAGTCCTCTGAACCATCGGGTGGATTGTGTGAAAACTGCTCATAGTGGCCAACAGGTAGAAAGCTGGTGGTCCTGGACGACAGCAGCACATCACAATTGGTGACAGGTGACTGCCCCATGAACCTCCCGCAGTGAGGAGGTTCTAGGAAGCCGCGGAGCTGCAGGGCATGTACTTGAGTGAGGCGCTTTCAGTCTGTTCTATGTCTGATTCTCAGGGACGGATGCCTGCGAAGGAGGGCGTGATCTCTGTGTGTGAAGTTTTCACCGAAGGCTGAGGAGACTGAAGGGCCAGTGGGGAGGGGGAGACTTGACTGAGGGCTGTGTGTTGGGCCATCAGGCAGGAGGGAGCAAGTTGCCGGAGGGGACTGGCAGGGGAGAAGTGACTCCTGGGCTGAGGCTGGGTGTGCAAGCCCAGCAGGGGTCCCAACCCAAACAAAACCTGACCTCATGGCCACTCTCCAAAGAGAAAGTGGCTCACCACTGGGCATGTGTGGGTGAGTCCGTGGCCGTGTCCTCCGTGTCTTGAAACTTCAGAGGATATCTCTGGGACTTTTGGATTCTACCCCATGAGTCTCCTCAAAGAAGCTTTGTGGGTGTGTGTGTGTGTGCTCACAGGTGACAGGCGTGTGCAGGTGTGTCACTGAGTGGTGTCGACAACCATAGGGCTATGCAACAAAAGACACATTCAATAGAAACAAACACACAGGCCCACTGCCTGGTCTAGGGTTTCAGCATGATTGTGACCAAACCTTTTTATAGAATTTCCTTATGTGAAGGCACAACACTCTGAAACTTAACAATTAGCAGAATATTTTATTCCAATAGGATAAAATTAAGCAGGAATCTTGGACTGTGCATGTGACTCTGCACTTGTGTGGCAAGTAGAGGGCTGCGCATTTTGATACTGGTGTTTGTCTCTGTTCCTGCCCTAGCCCGTGTTCTTGGGTGCCGAATGCACACATTCCATGTAGAACCACAGCTGTCTCTCTGGGCAGTCCTGGGTTAAGAGCCCTCTTTTCTAGACCCACACAACCTAGCTGGCTGGCCTGGATCCTTCTAGGCATTGGCATTCATGGCAGTTGCAAGGTGGGGGAGGGAGACATCAGGGCTTGCCTTTTTGACTTCGGGTTTGTTTCTGTACTGTCTCTTTTCAAGCTATCGTCTGTTTCCCTTGAAGTCTTACAGTGAGTTGCCAAATTTGAAATGCATCAGCCAGCTGTCTGCATCTGGAACCTGTCAAGCAGCAGCTGACCTTGAACAAGTCACGTGTGCATGTAGAATATACACATATATACGTTATTCCAGTATGTGCATGAAGTGTATATCTTCCTACTTTTTGATACAATGTACTCATTTGTTAATTTTTAATTATATTTGATATAAATTGAAGGTTTGTTGCAAAACTTTATATTTAACAGCAGTGTTAGAGAGTGTGAGAGAGAGAGAGAGAGAGAGAGAGAGAGAGAGAGACCCAACCATGGAACATAACTGGTATCTACTTAAAAAAAAAAAAAAGAATCCTGTGATTGACTTGTTTGCTGCCTGAGTAATATTTACAAGCCAAACTTTGGATTCTGATATTGTTTCTACAATGATATTTTGTATGAAGCAAAGTCCTTGGATTAAAATAAAAACTTAGCAAAAAAAAAAAAATAAAAAACAAAACCCCTGCCATGCTGCCTGTGGTACATGGGCACGTGTCTTGATGCACCTAATGGGCGGGGCACCCTGCCAGGAAGGCGCAGGAGAAAGTGCGACTTCTGGACCTGCCTATGTAAGTGTGGCTGGGTTAGGGTGGGCGGAGGTCCTGGCCTCCACAGTGTGTGGACTGCCTTTCCCAGGGGCCTCCAGGCCCCCTTCGGATCTCCACATATGGGTGAGTGGACACCTATTGTCCCGGGCACAGGTGGAGAGCATCCTGCAACTCCCAGAGACCCTGGGGGCTTTGCTCCCGAGCTGCAGTTTCTCCTCATAGTGGTCTCTGGTTCTTACATCCAATTTCTTAAACCCAGGCTCCTGAAACAGGTGGTTTTCTTACTGCTTTTTCTTCTCTCTTTTCCCACTTCTGGTGATAGCAGAGATAAATATAGGCATTTGTCAGTTCAAGGGCTGGGAACAGATTTCATCCAGTAACTACTGAGGTAGTGGAAGGAGCTAAGCTCCATTCTCATTTGTGTAGAGGTGGTTTGACATTTTGAAGGGGAAAGTAGGGAGGAGAAGTGTTTGAGTTCAAGAGAGTCAACAAGGTAGAGAGGCAGAGGGTCAGTGTGTCACCAAAGGGATCGAGGAGGCACTCCTGTGAGGACAGGTGAGACACAGCAAAGGTCTTAAGGGCAGCAAAGGTGTACGTACCCCACGGCAGAGTGTATTGCCCGCCCCTCAGGGAGGAGACTGAGGCACGCCAAAGGTGAGCTCCCTGTGTGTGTGACTTTCCAGGGGAGAAAAGTGCAGGTCCTTAGGCTTCTTCAGGATTCAGTCTCTCAACAGTCATCCTGCATTGAGTTCAGGATGTTCCTCCTCTGTCGAAACAGTCCAGCCGTAAGTCATCTGGGGGCATGTTGTGCAATTCTTTGAACCTGGAGACTTGTACATTAATATGTTCGTGTTCTCATCAATTTGTTGCAAGCATGCACTGAAAGTTTTGTTCATCTTACCAAAGGTCTCCATCTACTAGAGCCTCTCCTTCTCCCTCAGAGCCCACCTATCTCAGTGCATATGCAGTTAGGCCAGCTGTTGCTGACAGTTGTCTGAGTAAGGATTCTAGCTTCTACAAGCATGAGGAGATACCCCATCCCCTTCTCAATCACACTCCAAAGGAATTGTTCTCAGAGGCCCTTCTGAGTTGCAAGAGAAACATATTTTCAGTTGCAAGCCCTTTTTAGTAAATACTTCAAGAAGGGGAGGTCAGGGCCTGTCATCTGGTGTGGGTTAGAACATGGTAGGTTTTCCTGGCAGTGTTGAGCTTTCCTGAGGCAAATGTTTTAATGGAGGTGGTGGAGGTGGAAGTGTTGCTGGGGTCACCCTAAGCTACTTGAGCCTGGTAGGTTCACTTGGTGAAAACTCTTAGTGCCAGGGTTTGGGCCCAGTTGTCATGTGCTCAGAGTTCTGCACTTCTCATTGGGCCCCTGTGCCTTTAAGTGATCTCTAGTGGTTGTTTACAAAGAAGGAATGCAGTTCCAGGTGGTTTCACACATTTTCTCTTCAGCAATTTTTCTCCATAGCATCATGCATTCTGGGATGTTCCAGTCTCACCCATCCAATCCAGCCAATTCCCTTTATTCTCATAGGAAAAATTAGTAAAGACATTTCCATACTTATTCAGCTTGTTCTGTTAAGTAGAAGAGTTAAATGTGGCCACGGCTTAGAAGAGTCTGACAGTGAAGCTCCGCGTGGAGGTAGTGTTGCACAGAAATGACACTGCCCTCCCCACAGGCTCCTGCTCTGGCCGACATGCGGAGCAGAGCTTTGCGCCCGTTCTAGATCATAGAAGACACCTGCTGCTGTGGGGTCCCTCAGATGGTGAGCCAAGACACTCAGAGCCATGGCCAATGACATTCCAGCTGCCACCCAGGGCGTTTGCTGGGCTGCTACTGCCGACTTCGAGCCCAGCAGGAAGGAGATGCAGCTGGCTGCCCTCGGGACTTGACACTGGCCTGCCGCCACAGTAATGGTCTGCTTTTCTTTATTTTTGTAGAAATTTCTCCTCATTAAATGGTGACTGCCAGCACCACCTAACAAATACCCTCTGTGACCAAGTCCCGACACAGTTCAGTTTATCCCTAATAAATAGAAAATAACCAATTGAGAAAATGGACTTAACATTTTCAAAGAAAAGAATATCTTCTCTTGAACAAGACAGGAAACGGACAGAGATTCTCTGCCTGTCAAACTTCTATCAGGTTCCAAACACTCTCCTGGGCCCATCCGTGCGCGTCCGCCCTTCCTTGTACAATCCAGTGCTCCAGAGCACAGCACAAGCTCCTCCTCAGTACCTTGTCTTCCTCCCTTTCTGGTTGGGTCTCTTGTCTTGACTGTCCCTGGTGATGGCTGCTCACCCTCATTCCAACAAGAATACTATGGGGTCAGTTTGGTCAGAGGCTCTCTCACGTTTCTGATTGGTCATTTCCACAGGCCCCATTGCAAAGGTCTCTATATCTATGTGAGAATCCTGAAAACAGCTGCTCCCCTGCTTTAAAAAACATCGCTGGGTACTTTTTCTAACACTGCGAGACAAGGGGTAGCACAGGTTGCCAGCAAACACCAGAAGCTGGAAGAGGAAGGAGGGACCCTTCCCGCAGTTTTCAGAGGGAGATCAACCCTGCCAACACCTTGATTTTAGAATTCTGGCCTCCGAGTTGTGAGACAGTGTGCGTCTGTTTGAAGTGACACATATTTCAGGGCTTTGTGGCTGCCCTGGGAAACAAACACGCTGGCTGTCCCTGCACTCAGATGTGGTCCTCCTCCCAGTCTACCTCGTTAGTCATTCCAACACTGAGTGAGAGGAATGGTGGGAAGACACTGACCCTGAGGACAGGGAGGTGCCAAGGGGAGTGGGCTTGGCACTGGAGGGCAGAGCTGGAAGACCCAGGGCAGCTGGGCTCAGGCAAGGTCAGGGTGGTGGGAAGAGCAGAGTCAGGTCCATGGAACCAACTTGATTTTAAGCACCCCAGCTCCCTTCTGAGTCTTGGCCCTTCCGTGCTGTGCCCTGGGACATTTCAGTCTGAGCGCCTTGCTGTCACCTCAGGGATGAGCATCAGGTCCGAGACGGGAAGCTGAGCTCTTTCTTCCTCCATGGGCAGCAAAGTCCTGAGTGCCAAACATCACCTCCTTCTCCACACCCTCCGCTGCTCAACTTGTCTTCTGAGGAAAACTTCAGCACATTTCAGTCCTGGCTCTGCTGGGGGGCGGGTTGGCGCTGATTCCAGCCCCCTCCGGCAGCACAGGAAGGGCTGCAACGGGAGGAAGGAAGGCCCCTGTCCAGGCTGCAGGGATGGCCCCGCTGTCCTCCCTGAGTTGGGCTGGATCTCAACTGTGTGTGTGTGCTTTAAGAAATACAGGATCGCTCCATTTCTTCTCATAATCTTTTTAAGAGAAGGTGTATTTTTTCTCTCTTTCTATAGAAGGAGTGTTAGAAGCTAGGATTCCCTGGGAGGAAGGGGTGCATTCCTTCCCTTACTGGCACCAGTTGTCATGTGGTGGGCTCTGATCCACACACGCACACATGAATGTGTGGACACGCATGTGCAAGCACACATGCATACACATACCCTCACAACTCCCCCCAACTGTTACACATGCCATGACATACCATGCACCTGTGTGTGCATCACACACACACACACACACACACACACACGCCTGTCTGGCTTGCACCTCTGAGGCTGCGGAGTGGAGGAAGCCAGGAGAGGAGCCAGGAGAAGCCAAGGGAGGAACCTGGAAGCAGACAGAGGGAGCATCACTTCGCAGGAGACCAGGGCGTCCCCCTCCTGATCCACATTTGTCTCAAACCCTAGACTTCTCTCCAGAGCCAGGAATGGATTTTCCAGGGGTTGATTCTTGTGGGGACCTGAGCTGAGAATGTGGGTTCTCTGGGCCCTCACTCTTCTGCCTTCAGAGACGGGGTAATGGGGTCCATGGCTGGGCTCTGGATTTGTTTGCAGACGAAACAGGAGGCCACCCAACAGACACACAAACAAGGGGGTCAGTGTGGAACAGCAGCACACGTGACACTCCCCTGAGCCCTTCAGGAGCTGTCCCCTTTCCCTACCTTGTCAGTGTGGTGACAGCAGATGTGGTTCAGCATCCTCCGAAGCTCCCCAGCTCCCTCCACCTGTGGGCAGGGACAACCCTTTGGCCTGTCTCCAACACGTCATGCAGAAGCCCTTCCCTCTTGAGAGGACACCCCATTTTCAAGACTCTTACAAAAGTATAATCTGTAGCTCAAAACTGGGCACTTGACTCCCGACGATGTCCCCCACTTTCCTGAGGCAGTGGACAGGAGTGTCATGAGCCTAGGCAGTTGAGGACAGAGGCTGAGAAGGCTGGGGCTGTGGTTGGCCCTGGGCTGTCATCTCTGTTGCAGGCACCAGTCCCTTCTCTGCAGGACCACGGTAGCTTCCAGCGGGCATTCTGGAGTCGGGGTCCTGCTCTCTAGGAGAACAGATGGAGGGTGTGGTGTGTGTGGTGCACTTGGCGGAAGCTCCTGGTCCCACTGAGGGAACAGATACCATTGGAGTTGAGGCTCTCTGGCTACACAGAGGCGTCTTGATCGTGTCTCGTGTCCTTTGGGTGTAAGTGGGGAGCAGTGGGGGGGTGTCTAGAATCTGAAGCTGCTAGAAGGCCCCGGGCAGCATGCTGTCAGGGGTTAGCTTTATCCTTGGCACCTGTGCCCTGGTTCAGACTGCCGTGAGCACAGGGCCTAGGGATGGGGGTGCGCTGAGAGGCCTGGGAGACTGGGTCCTGTGTGGATGCCAGGCTGGCACAGGGAGGGAAGATGGAGTGTTCTGGCACAGGTGCTGCTTGGCCTCTGTGTGGGAGGCAGGAGAGCTTCCTGGAGGAAGAGGAAGGTTGGCCTGCTGAGCATGAGGTTTCTGCCCCAGCACGGGTCCTGAACCTGCTGCTCAGCCCTTCCCTCCTCCCTGTGCTCAGTTCCAGACCTGGATAGCTGACCCAGGACCTGTCAATGGTACTACATCAGGGCTTTGTAAGGGCACAGTTCTCTCTGTAACACCAAACAAACAATTTAAGAAAATCCAGGCTCAGGCTGCAGTTGCTCCCTGTAGAAGGGGATGAAGTAAGCAGTTGAGTTGCGGAATGAGGATGCAGCATAAGGTCCTCCAGGCTAATTGGAGTGGATCGCAGCAGCTGCCTCCAGGTCCTCCCTGGCCGGCATGGCACGGGGGGGGGGGGGCTCCTGGAGTTGCCTCCAGGTCTGGCTGTCCTTCCCCAGGAGGCTCTCGTGAGCCAAGAGGCAGACTGGGGCCTTTGTACCTTTCAGAGTTTATCATCAAGAATAAGGCTAGGCTAGGTGGGCCTTGGGGAGCTCAGAGACCCCAGGGCCTCGGTGGGGTCTGACATCCATTCACTTGTTGAAGGACATCTTGATTCCTTGAGAACTTAGCCATTATGAACAGAACTTCTGTATGTAATTCCATGCTGTATTTCGACAGATATTTTCAAGACATATGTTTTCAAAGCAGTGTCTAAATTCTTAAGATCATAGTTCATATCTATCTTTGGAAAAACCTGTTAAACTTTAAAAAAGTGATAAACTATTATGCATTCCACCAGCAATGAATGAATTCTTGTTCCATATACCACAGCTGATACTGTGTTTAAAAGGCTTTAGCCACTTAATACGTGGGCAGTGCCATCAGAGCCGTGTGGTTTGTTTGACAGCTGATGCCGAGCAACTTTCTATACTTCTTTACCATTTGCATATCTTCTTTGATGAGTTATCTCTTCAGATATTTTACCTGTTTTTAATTATATTGTTATTATTGATTTTCTTAGTATAGTTAGGATTTTAGTCTACTTTAGATATGAATTTTCCAAACATTTTCCCATGTTATGGCTCATGTTTTTCTTCCTTAAATGTGATTTTTCACAGAGTAGAAATTTTCATATTTTTAAATATGTTGGTACTAGGCATTGAACTGAGGGGTGCTATACCACTGAGCTCCATCCCCAACCCCGTTTACATTTTTTTTTTTTAAATTTTGAAATAGGGCCCTACTAAGTTGCCCAGGCTGGCTTCAAACTTGCAATCCTCCTGCCTCAGACTTCTGAGTCTCTGGTGAGACAGACATGTGCCACTGTACCTGGTGATATTCAATTTTAATAAATTCCACATTAACAGTTTTTCTTTCATGGATTTTTTGAGCTGTATTTAAAAACTCATAACGAAATATGTGAATATGTGGTCATGCATATTTTCTTATATGATTTTTTACAGCTGCACAATTGACATGTAAGCCTGTGGACTATTCTGAGTGAGTTTTGTGTGAATTATGAAATTTGCTTCTGTCCATTTCTCCTGTATGGTTTCCAATTGCTCCATCACCATCTGTGCAGCAGACACTCTTTTCTTAATTGAAGGTCTTTGTCTCTTCAAAATATCAGCTGCTGGATGTGGTGGTTATGTTTGGGGCTCTCTCCTCACCTCCATTGATCTTCTGTCTATCTCTTCACAGCAGCATATTTTCTTCACTGCTTTAGCTTTCCAACAGGGGTTGGGATGCAGATGATTGAGTTCTTTGATGGTCCTTCTGCAGTCAGTCTCATCTGTTCTAGTTTCAGAGGTTCAGAAACACTGTGCCACAAATTTGTCTGTGATCACACCAAAACTGCAGATCAAGTTTGAGAGAATTTCATTTTAATTGTGGAAAACTGAAGAAGGAATGTTTCTGCATTTATTTATGCTTTATTTGATTTCTTTCCATTGTTTCAGGGTTTTCTGAAAATATAAGACATTTTTAAAATTTCCACTTTGGGTTTGTTATTGTAAATGGTATTATTTAAATTTTTCTTACTCTAGTTCTCAAATTCACATTTCCCCCATACGTTGCTGATACATAGGACATCAGTGGACTTCTGTTTATCAGCCATGCTCGTTGCTTCTTTCTCTCGCTATCCATTCTGATCAAGGCATTGGATATTGGGTTCCACTGCCATTTGATTTCTAAAATCATGGCCTGGACTAATTAGAATCATTAATTTCAGAGCTTCACTGAGACTGCCAGGAGAGGTTGTGGGGTCACTGCTGAACAGTGAGTGCTGAGGGTCCTGTGCTGCCCACAGTGGCTGGTAGGGGGCGTGCAGAGCTACCTTTTCTGACCCCACGTGTGTGAGCAAAACACTGGACTACATTACCCACAATCTTTAGGGGCAGAAGCTTGCAGGAGACCCCGCAGTACTACCTCCTACACACACACACACACACACACACACACACACACACACGCACACAGAACCCTCCACCCAGCAGTCAAATCTGGGCTAAATTTCCCACAATCCCAATGAGGTGGAAGCTCCCAGGATCCCCCATGGAGAGCCAGCAAAATATGGAAGTACACCACACAAAACCCTCAGGATTAATTATAGTTGGGGCCAGGGGTATGGTAACAGTTAGAGGTAGGGTTTTGCGATGGTGGGGAATTCAGAGAGCTTCCTACCCCTAAAGATTGTGAGTTATGTCCTGCAATTTGCCCATTCAACAAAGGGTATCTTGGGAGTATATGGCCTGAAACTTCTAGTGGTCTTCATGGTGAGTGTTGGGCTACAGAATGCTGGACTACACTACCCAGAATTCTTCAGGGCCTGCAGTTCCCAGGAGCCTCTGGGGTGAGGGCTGCCAGGGCAGAAGACCTACCTGACTTTAGTGCTCAAAATCCCTGGGGATGCCTGTACCCTGTAACCCTGTAACTCTCAGAGGTTTCTGTAGTGAGAGCTGCATTGGCAGAGCACACTACCTAAAAAAATTCAGGTTACCAGGGAAAACATGGGGTCTACAGCTCCAGGGGTTCCTCCCAACAGGGCTGCACAGGGAAACTGCTAGAATACAGTATCCAGAATCCTCAGGGGCTGCAGCTCCCAGGGTCCTTGGTGGTAATTGATCAAAAATAGTGCATATTACCCACAAATCCTCAGTGTCTATAGCTCCTAGAACTCTCTGTAGTGAGTGGGCAAAACCTGGGCTACATAACCCACAGCACTCAGGGACCTGTGGCTCCAAGTCTCCTCAGTGGTGAGGGCTGCACTGTAGAGAACTGAACTACACTATCCAGAATCCTTGGGGAGGATTGCCTAAATGTGTGAGCAGACTGCAACTCCCAGAGGCCCCCACAGTGGGGACCACATTTGTAGGAAACTGGATTACAATATTAGAATTCTTAGGGCACCAAGGCAAGCATGTGGCCTGTAGTTCTCATGGACCTCCCAGTGGGGGCATGTGGGCAAAACACTGGACTACATTACCCAGAATCCCTAGGAAACTGCAGCTCTCCGGATCCTCAAAGGTAAGAGTACAGGGTATAAAACTGAACTATACTACCCAGAATTCTTGGAGTCAGCCAGGTGTCTGTGTCGCCTGCGATCCCAGAGGACTCCACAGTGAGGGCAGTGCAGGCAGAAGGCCAGACTACACTCCCCAGAATGCCTTGGGGCCTGCAGATCCCAGACAGCCTCCTGTTAAGGTCTGCAAGGGGCAAGGTTTGTATTGAGTTACCCAGATGCTTCATGGGTGCCCAGGCAGGGTGCTCTGTGCAGATCTTGGGAGCCTTGATGGTGAGGTCCATTTAGGCAGGATGGACTACACTATCCAGAATAATCAATGGCCTGCAAATTTCAGACTCAGAAATCAGCGCTGCCTGAGTAGAATGGACTACAATACCTAGAATTCCTGGGGACTTAGAGCTCCAAGGAGCCACTATAGCATGGGATGCATCAACATAGCAGCACACTACAACGTCCATGACTATTGGGGGTCTGAAGCTTACTGAAGTTGAAGCCTCTGCAGTGAAGGCTGCGTGGGCACAACACCAGACTGCACTGCCAGAGTCCTACAGGGTGCACAGCCAGGCTGCTCCCTCAGGCTGCTCTGAGAGGGGACTTCTGGGTGACCCTAGAGACAGGAATGACCCACGAGGGTCATGAACCTCCCAAAATGGGCCTTGTAGGCAAAACCCAGAATCCCTAGGAAACTGCAGCTCTCAGGATCCTCAATGGTAATCCCATGCTACAGTGGCACCTTGGAGCTCTAAGCCCCCATGGTGCTGTGTGGCAGAACACCAGACTCCACTGTCCGGAATTCTGAATGAATGGGTAGCCTGCTCCTAGAAGCATTCATGGTGAGAACTGGGCAGGAAGGACAGACTGAATCATCTAGAATGCCCCAGGGCAGGGGGATGCAGCCTGCAGCTCTTAGAGCTGTTGGTGACTTTGTCTGAGTTCAGGTTCTCATAACCTTGACAGTGACCACTATAGACTGGGATTTAACTGCTTTTCTTAAAACTTATGATCCCCAAATGGGATAGTCTCTGGCTAGGTCACTCTGTCTCAAACAGTACACTTCCCAGTGGCCTCTGTGGTGGCCTGTTTCTTGCCTTCTGCCCTTGGGCGGTAGAGTGAAGCCAGGGCTGCACGTGGCTGCACGTGGCTGCCTGAGTTGGGGTTCTGCCTGCCTGGCCCCTGGCTGCAGCTGTGCTTGGCCTGGTGGAGGGCAGGCTGGGGTGCAGGGAGGTGGCCCCTGAACTCCCCTCTGTCCGCTCCTGAGATTCAACTCATCCTGGTGCCACAGAAA